CAATGCAATGTTGAACATTGCATCAACAAAATGTTGAACATCACATCAATGGAATGTTGAACATCACATCAATGGAATGTTGAACATGACATCAATGGAATGTTGAACATTGCATCAACAAAATGTAGAACATGACATCAATGGAATGTTGAACATTGCATCAACAAAATGTAGAACATGACATCAATGGAATGTTGAACATTGCATCAACAAAATGTAGAACATGACATCAATGGAATGTTGAACATGACATCAATCAATTTAACATTGTACAGTCTGTATGAAAATGACTGCCAATATAAATTCATATGAAACAGATTACAGTACAGAAGATGGGACAATTCCGACATAGAAGAACAAAAACTTTGGTATACACAGGAGTCTGTAAATGATACAATGGAGGTGCAATCCGAAAATAAATAAACACTTCTTCTTTCAAGGCAGTTGATTGGTCAACATAAACAAAGGAATAAAATTGGTTTGATGCTTTGAGCAAATTCACTGGGTATTAAAAATCTATGAACCTGGCAGAGAATCTAAATCAGTTCTACTGTTCTTTCGCATGGATTTTATTTAGCAAATTTTACGCATCAACAACATTAAAAAAACGTCAAATAATGCACTTGAATACAGCACCCTAGATCAAAACATTTTTTTCTAATAATGTAAAAATCCTTCTACAGCTGATACAGCATACCGCAAAATTTTTACAATGCCAGTAACAAGCGTTTGGTTTAAGTAATGGTGGTTTTTTCAAAATGTTTTCAAATGCAGATTTTAAAAAATTACATGTATCTGCAAAATACAAATAAATAATGTTCTATTTATATATTATCTAGTGTTTTAAGTTATGCTTGTCATTATCCACTATGCATGTTAAATTACTAAAATAAAATTTTGAATGGCTCGTCATTTTCTAAAGTGTCAGTACACACAGAATGTAACCCTTTCATACGAGTGAATAAAAAAACAAGATGGTTACATGGTTTTATAAGAAAAAGCCATCATTGGGCAAGGAATGAAGACAGAATTCAGATATGCAAAACATCGCTCATTCGTACTTCTAGATCGCTTAGCGATCTAATTTTTTCATCACTAATCTGCAGTCATTATCAGCTATAAAGTACTATTTTTCCTATGTTTTACTTCAAGCCATCATAAATCATTGAAAATAAATTCCATACAAAACACCCAAAAAGTCTTTTCAGTGATTAATTCCAGCTAAAATAAAGTATTTTACAGTTTACTATAGAAAGGTTTACTACTGTTTGAGGCCGTCCACAAAGACACGATCTCCATGAAGGCACTGTGACTTAACAACCCCAATATATACTAAAAATGTTTGCGAATCCTCAATTTAACAAAGATTTAACATCTCATGCAAAATGAAAGTTTGCAGTATAAAACTATATGTACATTCAAACAAAAATTAACCATAATGACTTAAATTTGCTTCAACTTAATCACATTCTGAAATTAAAAAACAACAACATTGCAATGATATAATATGGGGAGTAGGAAATACTGTGCAATACATCTTGGGATATTTTTTTTTTTTTTAAAAAAAATGTATATAACACTAGTATGGGTATTGCACTGATCAATGTCTGGAAATCAGAATCGTAAAACTAAAGGAAATGCATATAAAAGATATCATCATTATACACCCTTATATATATACATGAATATTGTGAAATACTCCAGTACTATATTTTAGCTAGAATTAATTTTCACTGAAAGGAATGTTTGGGTGTTCTGTATGAAATTTATTTTCACTGTTTTTTGACAAGTTGAATGTAAAATATAGAAAAACAGGTATATTCGCTGGATTTTACTTTCACTGAATCATTCCTTCAGCGAAAATTAATTCCAAAGAAGATAGATTATTTTACGCTACATAAAAACCAAAACCATATTTGAAACCTATTACAATCTGTTGATCTCACATGTATCAAGTCCATTTCAGTTAGAAATTATAAATTCAGAACTGAAGTTGACAAGTTGAATGTAAAATATAGAAAAACAGGTATATTCGCTGGATTTTACTTTCACTGAATCATTCCATCAGCGAAAAATTAATTCCAAGGAAAATAAAGTACTAGTATTTTACATCACATAAAAACCAAAACCATATTTGGAGCCTATTACAATCTGTTGTTATCAAATGTATCAAGTCCATTACAGTTAGAAATTATAAATTTAGAAACACCAGATTCAAAACAGAATCAATCAAAATCATCTCAACACAGTTTGATTCAGATGTTTAAATACGGCTGTCCTATATGCTCTTCAAAAATGTCTATTCACATTGCCTGTAGACTTTCATGAGCTGTCACTCTAATAAAATCTATACATGTGACGTCATGAGAACTTTATCGAAAAATGTTATTTCAATGGGGGAGAACTTCAGCGAGCCCCTATCATTGCTGCCAATATGCAATCAACAATATTTCAAATATCAAACATGCAAAGAAACGATAAAACATTTCCACTAATATTTCACTAAAATGTCATTAGTTTTTACTTGTATCGTACATTATGATGTATACTCATGATTATGACGAAGTGTTAAATCTAAAGACAAAGACCTGGAAACCTAGTGTCAATATTATTACACTGTACTACTGTATAGTTTTATATACAATTCATTTATCTGACCAAGTGTCAATCATAATGTTGAACTCTGTACAGTCATTAGGAATCAAGATTCTATTTACAAATTCTTTCATCCAGCCAATCAGATCTTTTAACCTAAGGCCACCTAGGTTGTTCATGTAATGTTGCATGGATCCCCTAAAACGGTCCCAAAATGCAACCAGTAAATGCTGTACATTATTGCATTCCATAATCACTGTATAAACTCTTTGATAGGTCAACTGTATTTGCAATGAACCATGGGTAATTTAGCTAACATAAAAATCTGTTCATATAGCAGTCTGACTGCTTGCAATGCCAGGATCATTGTTGACAAAATAAACCAAGAGATTATTTTTTGTTAGAATAAAACTAATGTCTCATACTGTGTCATCGGAGCTTTTTAATATAAGTATGGCGTTGTAAATTTTTAACGCAGGTCCAAGTTTGATACTCATTATCTTCACAATATCTGTCTGGGTCAGTAGTAAGAATGCTTCACCGTCGATTTGCTGTAAAAAAAAAAATATTTATATAGTTGGGAATTATAACAAAACATTGATAATCGTTAAAAAGCACTTGTGAGAACTGAGCGTGTCTGCGTTCTGATCCTCTGATCTCTTACTGTTTATCAATCGGTCTTGACATACTGGTAGATCACATTTATTATTAGTATATTGTAGCTGCAATTTTTTCTGCCATGAAAATACTGATGACTGCCAGGACATGTTTTTTTTTGCAAATTATTTAGTATTTTAGGATAGAAAAAAACTGATTATACATATTAGCTAAAAAAAAAATGTTTGACCAAATAAAGAATCTTAGAACATCCTAAAACTGTATTTTTTCAGCAATAAAATTACCTCTTCTGCAAACTTCTGTGCATGTTCTTCACATCCTGGTAATTTTTTCACAAACTCTGACACTTGATCCGTAGACCACTTAGAGACTTCACTGGCTGTTATATCAGACACCCCAGGTAACAGTTTAGAATGCTGTTCCCAACAAAGTGGTAAATCTTTAGCAGGATAGGGAGTCATTGCAGACATAAATACAGATTGGTGAAGTTGATTGTGTAGATTGCTTGGAGACCCGTCTGTAGAGAACAAAATGTGATTAGCTTTAGCCACAGTGGTACTGTCTAGTTATGCCTAGTACTAACTAGTTAAACCTGGTAATGATTATTATTATTATTATTAATGGAACTGACTAGTTATGCATGGTACTGAATAGTCATACATGATACTGACTAGTTCTTTCAGATACAGACTACCGTAGTTATGCTTGTCTAATTATGACTGTTACGTCAAAGACGACTAGCAGGAACTCAATAGTTATACACGATAATGACTAGTTTATTCAGGTAAAGAATATTTATACCCAATGCCAACTACTCACTCACCTTTTGACTGATGTTCATGGTGTATTTTTCCATCTGAAGATCTCATCATTTTATCTCTGTGGTGTCTAGCATAAAATAAAGAAATAGAATCATAATTTTATTCCAACATTTGCAGAAAAAAAAACAAAATAGAAAGAATACGAAACCTGGCAAAACATTACTACCGGTATAGTATATCATGTTTGCACTCATGATTGTGATTGCTCAGAACAACATTTTTTCTGAAATTTCAATAAAAATCTGGAGCCAATAGAAAATTGTGTCGAGGCAAAATATTGGATCAAAATTTGACGGAAAAAGGGTTAATAAAGAATAACAGATAAACTCACCTAATTTTAAATCTGTTTTATCAAGTTCATATGAAAGAAGAAAAAAAGAGGAAATAGGGAAAATGTTTAAAAAATAAAATATTTACAACCATTCTTGTCTATTTATATTAAATAAGAATAATATGCATAAACACCACCTCAAAGAAATTTTGTGCCAGCGAATTTGGTATCCAATAACATAAGAAATGCTTGACATTTTCAGCGGTAAATTTTTGTTCACATTTTCTGTAATTTTCACGGAATTCAATCTTAGTTTTGGATCAAACAAAATGAGACATTGCTTCTAGTTTTTGATAAAAAAATTTTTGCAATTTTGGCAACATCTCATAAACAGCTATAACTGAAACTGATTTGAGGATGGTGCCTAAAGTTGCCTTTGGTGCTCAAAAGGTAAAGATCATTTCACACAATTTGTGAAGTGAAATTAAGCGCCCAGCTGATGAATAAGTAGGGTGCACATACACAGAATAACAACAGTCACTGAAGTGATACAATAATAATAAACAATGTATATAATATATTGCATGCACACCCATCACATTAACCTTATTATACTGAGAACTTTAAACCAGGACATGCACAATGAGAGTGAGTCTTAAGATACTGTTTCCATGGCAACTCACATAAAGATGAAGAATATTAGGCAGAGCACCATCAAGAATAATGCCATGCATAAATAAAACATATTGATATGATATGATACATTAAACATAGAGCACAGGATAGAGATATAGGTTATTGCCTGACCAAATATGTCAGAAAACAAAAATTACTTGGACCATGTGTTGATCAATCGGAATTTGACATGGCAGTCACATGACTACCAAGCATGATCACATGTCCATACATTTTAAAATTTGAGGGTACTTACTTCGGTCTTCGTCCTCTTCCTAGGGCGATACTTTGCGTGTTAAAAAATAAAGTGGGTTCGTCATTTTCTGTGAAATTTAATTTTATTTTACTCATGTTTTTCTCCGCGAGAGGGCATCCTGACACTCTATGGTGCGCTGTATATTTACCAGTCACATGACCTGATCCATCACAACCTGGTGTTGGACATTTCCTGGTAGAATCAGACAAAAGTCCAAGATCAAATCATGTTGACAAACGTATTGTGAAGGGGACAAACACCAGAGATTATGGATAGAGGAACAGACGCTCAAACTAACATAAGGCAAGCCTGTCACCAAAATCTCAAGCATTCAACCCTGAAAACATTACTACAGCACTAAGCAAATACCACTTAGATTTAAGGTGTACTGACGCCAAACATGTGCGAATCTATATCTGAATGGTAAGCTCTAGCAAGTTTAACTCGTAGGTGTATGTATAACACATAAGAGTAGGTAGATATAGGTAGATTGCTCTCTTCAAGCAAATGATCTAAGGCGTAGAGTAATATTCATTGCTACTCCTACTAATGCCATGTATTGATTTTACACATTGCAGGCAGATGCAGTTTTCCCGATTTATTTCTGCCACCTGAGGAGATTCTCAGGCAATGTGTTAAACATATGCATAATGTCTGAATACAAAGCATGATGAAAATAATTTTATAATACAGTCTATCATCAATGTGGTAAATTATAAAACTGTATTGCCAATTGCTAAACGTAGTTCACTATTTAATTCGCAAATGAACTAAGGTCAGTACATCTTTAATATTAACTATGGAGACATTTTGATAGAATGAAAGCGAAAGCACACCAAACATGCAAATTATTTAAAGACAAATTTCACTTACTTGAGTTCAGGTGACTGGGGTATTGGTAGGAATATTGGTTTTTTATCTGCTAAGTTTTCGTTAGCAGCTGCTGCCGCCGCCACTGCTGCTGCTGCTGCAGCGTTTTTAGGATTACCTCCCAGTCTGTCGGGCAATGCCGAGTCTTTGTTCATATTGCATTGTGAGTAGGGGCAACCGAAAGCACTGGAATAGAACGTAAACATAGCAATTACGATAAATTGATTGTGTTCCTAACAAGTGTCTGTTTGTGCAATGATCCAATTTGATTTGTGTTTAAATTTGCACTATGCCATTGTTCACAGTAAACTGTTTTATGATTTGATGATTTTGTGGCATTTGTGAAAACAAAATTTGGCAGAAGTCAATGACAATTTGAGTCATGAGACACAGGAGGAATTTTTGAAAACTACAAATCAGCGATCCATTTTCCTGTCAACAAATATTGTAGTCTACATGCATTGTGCATGTTGCATGAAACTCAAATCAAACACAACATGACCTAATGACTGGGCACTTGAAATATGTTCTGATAGATTTTTGAAAAGGTGAATGTCATCTTAATATTTATATATCATCGGTTTTTGTGTCTATTTCACAAAATATCCAACAACTTTCACCATCAAAAATGTTTGGGACAATAATAATCATTACATACTAGTTATATTAACATGGTATTGTTGTCAGAACTGTCTATTTGTGCTGTTTTCTGGTTTGTTTTTACTTGCATTGCATGCACTATGCGCTACACGCTGTTCAAAACACAAACGATGCTAACAGTAAAAACAGTACAATGTCAAATAAAACCTTTAACTATGACCAAACATGACAAATAATTTTAACAATTTTGTGGATTCATAGATTGTCTGTGAACGTGCAAAATGTTTTTAGCAGATCCCTTTAAACTGGCCGCTAACAATATGTAAACACTTGTTGTGTGAGCCCTCAATATACATATGTACAGACTATAGGGCTACTTTCACATTCCTACTATTATTTAGAAATGATGTGGCTTTATATTTATTGTAAATTGTTATCGTTATTTTGAAGGCAACAGAATAAATGGCACACTGTTTACAATGTTCTGTGATACAAGTGTAGACTTGATGACTGGCTTAGTTTGAGATGAGTTGAGGTGATTACCTATGATGTCCTGTATACTTAGCACCTTTAATATGGCCAATACCTTTACATCCTGGCGTAGGACAACCAGATTGGCTGTGGAAATAAAACATTGTATTATTAATAGAAAAGTATCCACCAATAGCAGAGTTAGTGTCAGCCTACCATGTAGTGAGCCGAGAAGTAGAGAAATTCAAAACCAGCGAGTTCATGTTATTTGTCCTCCTACTCAGATACAGTTGACTGCAAGGAACATTTTATTTGTGTTGTTTTTGAACTGCAGAACTATATAATTACCCCTATTGATTAATCTTCCAAGCCCCCCTCACCCAAAGAAATAACCCATCCCCTTTGTTTGATGAGCTTTATGAAACATAATGTCTCTCTATAAATCAGACCCTCCAACAAGGAAGGTGGGCAGGCCTAAAACAACATGGAAGAGAACAATGAAAAAGGAGAGAAAGTTGGATGGATGGAAAACTTGGAATGAGGTCAGGGGAAGTGCACAAGACAGATAGAACTGAAGACAAGTGTTATGGCACAAAGTGGATAGATGAAATGAGATGATAAATCAGACCCTCCAACAAACCTTTTTTTTATTATAGAAAATTCATTTTTGTGTTTGGTGGCTAAAACTACATGGTACCCAGAAGTGAAAGTAAAGAAATCTTATTTTTTGACAATCAGGAGTCTCTTTTGTGAATAATTCAGTTGATTCAAAACAAACATTAACCCTGCTTTAATATAATACAATATAACTGTTATGACTGTGAGACTACTAGGGCTATCATCAATCTTAATTAATGTCGAAACTAGTTGCTCACTGAGTGATTGACAACTCATCTTTCCTGCGAGTATCTAGCCTAGATTTTAGGCAGTTAAGAGATAGAGCAAAAACAATGCTATAATAGCTAACTGTGTTTACAGAGCTTGATCTTAAAGTAAAATTCAAATGTATGGCCACTGGTAGTGATAATTAGGGGCTAGCCATGGATAATCAATGCTATGTAATAGACCATTTTCCGTTCACTGCGAGAATCGTGCGTTATGCGTGAAATCGAATGTAAAAACAGGACAAACAAAGGTCATAGCGTCGTCAAACATCGTGTGGGATTCGACAAACGCAAAAGCATTTCGGGGGACATTTTCATGCTTAATAATGTGCTGTACACATTTGATGATAGACAATTTCGATTAAGTAAGGGTATTTGAAAGCAATATTTCTCTGTCGAAGATCGGCCTGTCGATGTGAACTACGAAATTAAGAAATTCGAGTTCATAATCAAATCGTTCGATTTTTGCGGCAGACGTTCAACACGCGTCTTTCATGCATCTCGCGAGATCTCGCAATGTACGGAAAATCACCTATTCATGACGTAATTTTAACGTCTTGATTTTTAAACTTACCCCGGTGTTACAAGTAAGTCAACTGGATTGATTGGAGGTTGCAAAGGATGTCCTGTTTTCACACACCAAGTAGGGGGATGGATATCACAACTATCATCATCAACATAATAGTCATACTCATCTGACCATCCATCAAAGTGTAGTCGCATACGTAGGTTGTCCACCTCGGTAATTGTCGCTACACGAATTAAAGTAGGATTACGTTTATCTACGGTTTCCAATCGCATACCAACTTGAAAGCCAGCTGGTTGTCTCTGTAAGCAAACAAGATTTCAAATCAACTTATTAATATTCATATTTTAAGGGGGTCAACAACTGTAAATTTTAATACTGAAAATATGCAAAGTTTAGACCATTTTCCGGTCACTGCGAGATCCAGCATTAAGCATGAAATCAAACAAAAAATCATTGCATCAATTTAACAAATTGTTGTTATTTGTTCCCTCGTCTAATAATGTGCTGTACACATTTGACGATGGTCAATTTTGCTGAAGTAAGGGTATCTCAATGCCATATTCCACTCTGAAAGCTCAGCATGTAGACATTGAACTATAAAAAAATATTCCAGTTCAGTAATCAGTTTCAGCGGATGTTAATTCCCAGGCTTTCACCAATAATGCAAGATCTCAAACTGAATTGAAAATTATCTATTCATAAAGTATTATTGTGCCCTCAAGCGGGACTGAAGTTCAAACAAGATTGTATATGGCTTTAGGTGACTTCTGAAAGTGCAATTATGTTGTAGCTTCTGCGTGAATTCTTTTGTTTTCACACTTTGTTATAAAACCTGAATTTTTTGTTGTTACCAAACAGAAAATTTCTCAACTACAGCAAAATATAAATCAAGGGAACTTTTTCAATGTATGATTTTTCCATCAAGTTAATGACATACAAGGCAATGAGGATAACTAGTTGCTTCGCAATATCTCTCTGTGTATCATAATGACTTAAACATATCATAATGACTTAGAGGACACACTGCTGATTGTTAATGTGCGTTGTCGATAACTCCTGCTGTACTGTCTTCGTCCATACTTTACAGTATCCTCGTAATAACCTTATTATTATAATCTTTTCCTCCCAAGAATACATCATGGGAATGCCGAAATCCAAAATGTTTAGAACATATTCAGCAAAACTTCTTTGTGTGGAGTCCGGTCAAACCCTGGTGGCAGCCATATTTGTTTTTATTATTAGAGGATGCTTGCATGCATAATCATTCCATATTTGGAATTTGCATTTCCTAATATGGTAGGATGAAATTACCCAGTGCAATACTACAAAATTAACTTCTGGCATTACGGTGACAGATGTATAATAATATCCATTATTTCATGGACGAAAAGTTTTGCTATGTGAATAATTTTAGTAGCTTCAACTAAAATCTTTAGTTGTGTCATAGTTGAAAGATGACTCACCGGCTTAAACGCTCTGGCAGGAACTTGAACAGATTTAGTTTTATTCAAGTAGTCCATCCACGAGAAATTCTCTGGATCTGGATGATCTGGAAAATAAATGACCAATTGAATGCGATTTCCTTTAAACAAAATGGTTTCATGTTTTTAATGACAAAATAGCAACAGATCACAAGATTGTGCACGATCTTATGTTCGCGAGGACACACCATCAACTTACCATTGGGAGGTGTTAAAACTTTTCCGTTTTCCTGACACCACCCCACTGGATGTAAATAAGGGGAGGATGGATCAGCCCAGTAGTCGTACGAATCATCCCAAGCATCAAAGTGTACAAGAAAACGATTATCCATGACATCTGCAATGGTGGCAACACATATCAACATTGGATTCTTTTGATCAACAGCTTCCAATTTCATTCCTTTTCGAAAACCATGTGGTGTGACAGAGTCCTACATATATGACAATGACAGCAGGTTAAAATGAGAGCTTTGTTTCTCCTCATTGCGTGCGTCTCGCGCATATTTAATGCAATATTGCTCTACCAGGAAGTTACCAGCCCTGTATTAAAGATTAAATTACTTCCATTCCCACAAAAAGTATCACAAAAACAATCAACATTCTGCTGAAATACCCGGCACAACACAAAGAAGACAATGAACATGTTTCTAAAATCACCGGGTAGGTAAGTTTTAAATTTACCAACATAATTGGAAATTTACATGTCTTGGTCACATGACTGGCAGTAATTTCAATCACTGGCTACACATAGGTCCTAATTACCTTTATTTGAAGAATTAATGGGAATCTGTTTATCATGAAGATGCTAGAAAATGCAGATTATGGTCTAAATGAAACAGTAACTTTTTTTTTTATAGATTTATTGGAACAACAACTTACAAACTTAGTATTTCTGAATACATGTTTCGGAGCAGCTTGGGCTTTAGACAATTTCAGATAACTTCCCCAGTTGAACGTCTCACTTGTAAACCCTGTAAAAAACAAAAATTTAATATGAACCACTTTAGTTTCATCAAATGAAATTTTAAAACCATGAAGTCAGAGATTATGCTAAATTTACATTGCCATCAAATTGTCTTAAATGGTTTTCAGTTTTCCACCCACCATGACAAGCAGCAAAGCTTAGATACTATGTAGAAGACAGAACATAGAAGAAAATTTCTAAAAACTTATGAATTGATGTGTAGCACTACAGAAGCACATGTCAGGGAACCGTAAAATGTTATATTTTGAAAAAGATGTGCCCCATGCAGTGTGTGTTGGGAATGAAATAAGTGTGCAAGATGAACATGTGTTTATAATAAAAAAATATTTTACATGCATTTTCATGTCATCCCAGTGCTGACTTAGATTAAAATAACTACATGTAGTACAGGTTATTTTATTTTAAGACTAAACAAAAAAAATTTATGTTTCAGATCAACGTGCGCACCACCAAAAATCCTGGGTAAGATTTTAGCAATAACAACAAAATCCACCCACCACCGAAGGCCTTAACTAGATTATCTTTGCAATAAATATAATTTTGTAGCATATTTTACCCAATCATAACAGATTTCATGCAAATCAGAGACAAATGTATTGTTCATTTAACCAGATCCTTTTTTTTACTCATTGACTTATCAGTAAAAATACATTAAAGGCCAAGAAAAAAAGAGACTCATCAATTTTACAAATGCAATCCATAATTAAGTATTTTTATTTTTCTAATTTACTAAAATATCACCAATCACCGGGAACACAACAAACACCAAAAATGTTTTGTTTTTTTTTGTGTGTGTTGGGAATGAAATAAGTGTGCAAGATGAACATGTGTTTATAATAAAAAAATATTTTACATGCATTTTCATGTCATCCCAGTGCTGACTTAGATTAAAATAACTACATGTAGTACAGGTTATTTTATTTTAAGACTAAACAAAAAAAATTTATGTTTCAGATCAACGTGCGCACCACCAAAAATCCTGGGTAAGATTTTAGCAATAACAACAAAATCCACCCACCACCGAAGGCCTTAACTAGATTATCTTTGCAATAAATATAATTTTGTAGCATATTTTACCCAATCATAACAGATTTCATGCAAATCAGAGACAAATGTATTGTTCATTTAACCAGATCCTTTTTTTTACTCATTGACTTATCAGTAAAAATACATTAAAGGCCAAGAAAAAAAGAGACTCATCAATTTTACAAATGCAATCCATAATTAAGTATTTTTATTTTTCTAATTTACTAAAATATCACCAATCACCGGGAACACAACAAACACCAAAAATGTTTTGTTTTTTTTTCCCTCACAATTCATTAGAAGGTTATTGGTTCAAGATTGAAGTGCTAAAATTCTCATCTATTCTCGGGAGCGAAGCTACGTCACAGAACATTCCATGTTGCTAAGATGTGCCCCATGTATTTCTATGGGCCACTGTGAAACACCAAGCAGTGAAAACAGCTAAAGTTGAGAAAACAGCATAATTTTAACTACGAGACAATCTTGAACAACAAAATTTATAAATATTGTATATGTAGGGGTAATCTTATTACACTGTTCAGTAGAATCTCGATAACTAGCCAAAATCACATTTTTTTTCCCCCGACCATTGCAACCACAGCCAGTGAAAATGTCTGGATTTTCACTCCAGGGAATAGATTAAATTAATTCTGACTTACATGTTGAATTAATAGCTAAACTAACATGCTAGCAAAAAAACACGTCTGGTACGGTAGTATTGTACATTACAATGTGTCAATAGATCAATGCTACCAGATATCCACATTGACCACCAGAGGGCAGTATTTATCTAACTTCACATGTGCTCCTGGTCAATACTATTATTGTTTACACGGAATGATATAAAGTGTGAAAACAGGCATTTAGTATTTTACCTCATCCATAATGATTTTACCATAATGTAGTATAAAACTGAATGATGATACATCTTAACAAAATGCCTGTTAAATGATTAGAGTGCTCAAACAGAATGTATTGAGATGAGTCCAATTGCAAAACAAAAATACGCACGTGTCTATGACGACTAATTATTGTTACGACTTTAAAAATTTATCGGCTCAGACATGTTACGAAAATGCCTATGGAATAGCATTTTTTAATTACCGATGAGTCAGACATTTAGTACTAATTTTGGAGCATTTAATTGAAAATGTAAATGGCCACCAGTCAGCCATCCAAGATCAAATCACAAAACAAAAGGGTATGTCTCTGTAAGGCATGATGTGATATTTTGTGCCAAGTTTGATTGAAATAGGCCCCTGTATGCCCGGGATACAAGTCTAGATAGTCAAATGCACAAGGAGCCAGAATCATTCAAGTTTAACATCATGGCAGCTACTGCCATAGCAACACTGAGATAAGATTCAGTCACTAACAAGTCAATGTATATAGAAACTCACCACAAACTGATATTCCATGGAAAGCAACAATAAAATGAAATTATTTGCATAATATTTTTGAATATTTAAAAAAAATTAATAAGATAAATATGTAA